AAACGACTGAAACTAATTTTCCAGTTGACTATAACCGGTTCGTTTTCAATTTTTCCTCTGTATGCCTAGATAAGACACAACCTGAAGCCTTATCTCTCGGTTTAAAATTCTGTGACAGACGTAATCAGGTTGATCATTTAGAGACTGATGTTCAATTTGAAAACCTATTCGCCCAGACAAGCGACCTAACTCCTTCGTCCAAGTATGAGCTAGAAGGATTTAAAAGTACCCTTATCGATTCCTGCTACCAGTTTAAGAACAGCAAACATCCTGCCAACAGTCCACTTACAAAGAAACACCGAGAGGCATTACGTGACCTCAAAAAGAACGAAAATCTGATAATAACTAGACCTGATAAAGGATCTGCTACAGTTATCATGAACAAGAATGATTATTTAGACAAAATGAATATCATTCTAAGCGACCATACGAAATTTCAAAAGCTGAGCAGCTGTAAAGACACAAATGAGGCAACCGAACGCCAAATGGCTAAGACACTAAAATCATTAGTTGAGAGTAATCTGATTCCTAAGGATGCACTCGACGAATTGAAACCCTCAGGTACGCACACACCAAGACTTTATGGTTTACCAAAAGTCCAGAAGCCGGGAGTACCACTACGTCCCATCTTAGATATATGTCAATCTCCTTATCATTCGACAGCAAAGTGGTTGGTAAAGGCACTAGAACCGTTACATCGCGAATTAGTGAAATTCAGTGTAAAAGACGTATTTAGCTTTGTGGAAACTACCAAAAGCCTGAATGTAAAGGGAAAGAAAATGATGTCACTGGATGTCGCATCATTATTCACCAACGTCCCACTGCTTGAAACAGTCAACTACGTATGTGACCAGCTGATAGAATGAAAGATGATGTAGGAATCCCATCCGAAAAAGTCAAAGAATTATAATTGAAATGCACTATGAATGCTCAGTTTATGTTCAAGAATGGTTTTTATAGACAAGTTGATGGTATAGCCATGGGATCACCCCTGGGCTCTATGCTAGCGGATATTTTCCTGGCAAAGCTTGAAAATGGTCCACTTAAAGACACGATTAAAGGGTTTGACTATTATTGTCGATACGTAGATGATACCTTTATCGTTTGTGATATAAATCTTGATAAACAAGAGCTTCTGAATGCTGTTAATAGTGTTCACCCAACTATTCAGTTTACATGTGAAGAAGAAGACAATAACAGTTTACCTTTCCTAGACGTCCTTCTTACCATGAAGACAGACGGATATCTACAAAAGAAATTATTTAGAAAGAAAACTTGGACGGGTCAGTACACCCATTTCCATAGCTTCACACCGATTCAGTACAAAAGAAACTTAGTTAAGTGTCTTAGCTATAGAATAAAACGCATATGCTCAGAGGAATGCATTAAGGAAGAAATGCATAAACTGAAACTCACACTGCAAGAAAATGGATATCCACAGAGCTTCCTAAAAAAGTATATGTCAATACCTACAGACAGGGTAAAGGTGGATACCGTAGACAAGAAACCTTTGTATCTTAAGTTAAGTTACAAAGGGGAAATTGCAGCTGACATTCTAAAATGTCGACTTAATAGAGCAGTAGATAGAACATTTCCTGCAGCTAAACTGGTACTCAACTTCTCAACTAAACCAGTACTCACACAGCAAGTCAAGGATAAATTACCAAAGATGGCCTCATCAATGTGCATCTATGAATTCAACTGCTCATGTGGAGCTAGTTACATTGGCCGTACTCAGAGGGCTTTATCCATGCGCGCGCGTGAACATGTACCTGTATGGTTGAGTAAAGGAGTAACCAAATGCGTAAATAGTGCAGTCTTAGCTCACTTGGTAGATACTGGACACCCGATAAAACTTGACCAGGCGTTCTCAGTTATTTACCGCGTTCCTAGTAATTTATCTAGAGGAGCTCGACTACGTCTTCTATCAGTAGCTGAAGCGGTTGCAATTAATACCAGAAGACCATCTCTTTGCATACAGAAGAAGTATGTTCAACCTCTATGTTTACCTTGGCCTACAATAAAGCCAACAAATCCTCCATTAACACTATAAATTCCTTTCACAATTTTCTTTTCTTTCCTTCTTCTTCTATTCCTCTGTTTCATTGACAAACGTTCATTTTCGACTTTTATGATTTCATGACCTTTCTTATGATTTTATTACCTTAGGTTTAAATAGTGCTTTTCTAACTTGCTATCGTATTTACAAAATCCTGTTCATTCCACTTCATTATATTCATTATTATTATTTGACAATCATTCACCAATAGTGCTTGTAATTTTACACCATATCATCGTTATTATTTTACAATCATTCTTATTGTCGTTATTTTCAACCTTGAACTTATGTCTAGTCCGCCCCATTCGTTGGTTTATTTTCATATTGTCTCACACACCCTGATTACACACACTCTCGAAACCTGTATTTTCTGTTGACTATATTTATATATATATATATACATCATTAAATTAAATTACTTCATCTCATTTTGTCCCATGTTCTCATTGACCATGCATATTAAAAAAACTATCTGACTATTGTTCCATCCCATCTTATACTTGTTCCACAATACACTTTCTGATATGATTCTAATTTGCCTTTACTGGCTATTGTATGCTTAAATTAATGGATTTATAATTGTAGAGCCTGAAGAAGAATTTATTGAAAACAATTGTTCGCTCGAATGCTTATTTTCGAATAAATTATGGGAATACTCAATTTGCAATTCTTTTTCATATTCGTTATAATTATAATCATACGACTTCAAAACTTGAGTTTTATAATTTTCTTTATTGTCTTCTCTTTGTGGTAGGGTAGTAGAATTTTCCGGTTGTCTGGGTGGGCAGCTGTTTAGTTATTCCTATTGCACGTGTTTGCAGTTGATCCGATAAACAAGGCTTCTTTTATCAATATCTCTCTGCACCCAGCTACATTATATTGTAAAACTCATCTTATTCTATCCATCATATTGTATGTTTGTGTGTTATTGTATGTAGTGAGTGGTATACCTGAACTATTCTGCAGATTTCTTATCATATTAGGGTCAACTAATATTAATTTTGCTAGGTACTTGTGATCCGCTGGCCTGACTGACCCCATTCTACTACTTTAACCTATTTACTTAATCTGACAATCATTGCGGAGTGCTAGATAAACTAAATTGATTTGTTTAATTATCTCCACAGGATCCTTTGACCAACAAAGCTTGTTTCTAGTTTACTTTATTGATTTGAATACTACTTTTATTCATGCATTGTTAAGAATTCTCCGTAAGGTTTCCGAGGTTCCTTCCTTGTATGGAAGTACTATTCATGATTTATATTCCCTATTGTTGGTGTTGTCATTATTCTGTGCATGTTTGACATGCATGTCATCATTAATATAATTGGCACTACCATTAATATTAATTTTAGTTTACATTTCCTTACATACTTCCTGATTAATTTTTCAGGGTATTTATTAAGTTTCAAAGGTTCTCTTTTATAAGCCTCACTTCCTGTCTTTCCTTGGTACTATTTAGTTTTTGTGCCCTGTTACTTAAAGATTTCACTGACATAAGATGGGATGATCGGTAGTCCAAATATCTGTTTGAATGTGTGGGTTTCCTGTAACTACTAGTGTTTAACGTCCCATCTTCTTTCCTTTTTACACTACAATCTAACATTGGAAACTCCCCTTCCTGACTTTCAAATTCATGAGTGAATTGAATTGCCCCTGCCTTCGAGTTGATGTGTTCGAAAAATCGATTTACGTTCTGTATTCTAAGTACAGTGAATGTGTCACTTGCATCACCTTTACCATACTTTTGGGGTAGGCTGAACGTTTCAATCGATAGGTTTTCTCACCTATGCATGAATATATCTGACACAATCGGAGATATTGGTGACCCCATGGCAACCTTCTCAGTTTATTTGTATATTTTCCCTTGGAATTTAAATATTGTGGAAATTAGGCTTAGCTGGACTCACAGCATTATGTCCTGTAGTGGCGCTTTTGTTATAAGTTCAAGTTCTTGGTCAGAAATGAGTTCTCTCAAGCATATGAGTCATTAACAGAAATCAAAATACAATAAACAAAATCTCATGAACTGTGATCAAAATTTGACCATAGACTTCCAATTAAACCTACCTATGCCGATTTTAGGTGGGATCAATCAAAGTCTGAGTATTTATTAGAATGTGCCTGTTTTCTGTAGATGACAGCATTTATCCCATTATCCTACTTCCGTCTTATTTTACGGTCTGGCATAGTTAACTCGTCCTGTTCATTTTCTGACTCAAAAGTGAATTAGATGCCACCTATCAGTGATTTTATATGTGTGAAGAACCTGGGAATATTTTCGGATTTTATCAATAAATGTGTCATCCACATATCTCCACCATAATCTAGGATCAGAACTTGATATCCTATGTGTCCTATTTGTTAGTTCAGGATCAATGCCCAGTTCATTCGTAAATGCCTCCAGAGCTGCATTAATTGGGATATTGGTGTATTAGCATGTTACATCAAAACTAATCATTTTCTCGTCCATTTCTATTTGAATTTTACCTAACTTTGTTTTTATTACATATGAATGAGTTAGCCTAGAATTTGACCAATCTCTAATGGGACATAATATTCATGCTAAATATTCAGATAACTCATAGATCGAGGTGTTCTTAAAAAATAAACTTTTGGCCTAATGTGGTATCCTCCCTTTTGAATTTTAATTGTACCATATATTCTACTAGGATTATTGGTTTTAGGTTAAATCATTCTGGTATAATTGTTAGCAAAGTTAGTGCTGAAAATGTTGTATAGGAGAAAAAAAAAAAGAAAGCTTGACAATTAAACCGTCCAACTCAGAGAATGGAACGACACCGAAAGAATCTACTTTAGCCACAAAAACCTCTCTCTATTTTAGCATTATTCGTGTGATTAGTATCTTGTTTTACTGGGTTTTTGTTGTGGTAATTATAATAATAATGAAAATAACTTGAAGTATTCTCATATTTTCTAGGTACATATGTATGATAGTGTATTGGATTCATGGATTGAAATACCAGTTGAGGGTATTTCACCTTGTTCACGGTTAGGTCATTTAATGCTTTATGAATCACCGTGTCAGCTGGACACCTCGAATACTGAACATCGTATACCAAAAGGGAAATTGTATATACATGGAGGAATGGCTGATGATGAACTATTTGACGATCTTTATGCTTTACATTTTGCTCAGGTAAGAATAAGTCAATAAGAAAGAAAGAAAGAAAGAGACGATTATTTTCTCTTCTGTTTATTTTAGATATTTATACAATTTCACAGACTATTTATCTTATGTTAGTATTGCCTTTTTAAGAAAAAAAGTATCACTCTTACAGTTTGTTAATTCCTACATTCTACCTATTCTTCTTTATTGCTCCCCCTTAATCTATCGTGGGCTATCTAAGACAGACTTTGTTGCATTTCGAAGGACACTTAAACCTATCAGTAGGGTGAAAGAGGTGTCACTAAACCAACTTGTTAATACTGTTGTGGACAGACACTTGAATTCATCCAAGAAATAGGCGAATATCATCTTGTCGAAATCTGAGCACCCTCTCTATGCACAACTTTCCCTATGCATCTTATCAGGTACAACTAAAAGCAATTACAAACGACTTAATGCTCGGACAACTAAGTATTAAAAACTCTGTAATACTTTATTTAGGACACATTCTATATGATGAGAAAAGTGTTAGGTATGGAACTACTAACTTACTACCAAACGGTAAGTAAACAGCTCTGTTCATTCTTTGTGTCATTAATATTATATTCTTGTCAATATTCCTGCTTAACTGACATGATTATCAATGTAAATGCCCCGTTGATTAATTCCCTCCTTACTATATAACATGAAAAGAAAATTAGATGTAATATTGTACTACATACTGAAAATTCCATATTATATCAAACGTGCTCGCCGCCATACTGTAACGGTAGAAGACGAGAGAATTATTTCGAATGTGGTTTCTTTGTGTAGCGAAATTATGTACACCTTATCTTCAACGCACCATTTGCACAGATCTTCCGTGTTATGCAACTTCTCACCTTCCTTCATATAGTTTCTTTCAAGTCTCCTAAGTATCTGCGCAATGCTGTATCATTTGCTTTCTCAGACATCAAATTTATCTCCCAGCTATTTGATGTATTAATGCCGATGAACGTCTCTTTATAGACTACTGATAAATCTTATCAGTAGTGCACAGCATAATACGACATATTACCGATTGCATAATCTATATGACTGGTAGCGTATTCATTGATTATTGAAATGCTCATCAGTGTTTCATCCCTTTCACTCTAACTTTTCGACATAAACAATAACCACTTAATTATATTTTAATATAATTCAATATTTTATTGTAGCTTCTTAAAAATTTAATAAAACTGGTCATTTGAAACTTAGTTTTGAAAAAGAAAATAATACTAGTTTTATTCGGAAAAATGAGTTTCTACACAATACAGAATTTTCAACAAGTTTCCCACTGCAAGGTATTTTTGCTCCTTGTGCAGAATCTTCAAGTAGTATAATAAACGATAATGAATCAACTGAAGCGAGATTGTTTTCTATCCGAAGCGTGCTCCAATAATCCACAATGTTTCTTCATTATTTCCTTGAGAAAATTTCTAGTAACTGGTTGAGACCTATTTGATGAAAATGTACCTGAGTGTACACTGAGATTCTTAGACATAATTCTATGAATAAAACAATATGAAATAGTGTTAAACATGATGCATTTGGATGAATAAAATATCTGAGTAGGTCACTAAATTTTAAGCAGACTGCCGATGAAGTTCGAGATGACATTTCACCATAGCTTCGACTGGAAACCAAAAATATTCAGGTCACTAGAAATAATGTCAAGAAAGTATGCATATTGTAGATTGATATTAAATAGTCTTCTTCATTTTACAGCCGAATTTATCAACGGATTGATTCACTTCAGGGTCGAATCAGCTCAAATTGCTTGCAAACTACATAGTTCGAACTGTAGTTTCATAAGTGTTTGTAAGTATTACACAAAAGAATACTAGTATGGATGAGAATGTTTAAAATATATCTATTATCGACAAAATCATCTTCAGATGCTGTGCAGTCGTATTTGTATTGACCAAAAACGTATAGTTGTCCATTGTTGAGTAATAGGCGGTGACATCATTAATATAACTACTCAGAAGTGGGTTCTAAATTTAAAAACTAAAAATTACGTCATGTTGAATAGTACAATGGAAGAAACGGTTTGGAATTTGATAAGGTTAAAAATTGCTACTGAATCAGAAAAAACGTAGTTGAGTTAACGATTAGGAAAGAGATTAACACCATGATAGAATAAGAGACTGAACAAACCTTTCCTGTACACAAATTTTGAGGTTACACTGACGAACCATCAGCACCTTCACGGTACACAAATGTTTTGCCATTCGTTCTCACCTTGTAGATAATCTTAAAAGACGACTCTGGTGAAGCTGTGTAGCCAAGTGTTCGAGAATTGAGCTAGAAACTGTCTTCTTGCTAACCATGCTGGATAATGTTCGGAGATGCGTCTGGAAAGTGTTCATTTTGTGCTGCCAACATAACTAGCTTCACAGGAACAAGTGAATTTATAAACACACATTGTAGTGGTCCAAAGCGGTAGTTTATCCTTCACACATCCACTGATCATTTGTCGGCTGGAAAAACTAATCCGTAGCTTAGCCGAAAAGAAGGTTTTTCTCGGTGATCTGGACAAGTAGTTCTTCAGAATTTCAACCTTATCAAATTTCTAACGGTTTCTTCCGTTGTCCTGTTGAGTATTACATAATTTAAAACTTTTATTTTTTACTTTCGAAGCCAATTCCGAGTAATTTTATCAACTATATCATCTCTCTGTTACTCAGTAATAGACTACTATAATGTTTTGGCAAATTTAAATATGACTGTACAGCCTCCAAAGATGATTTCGTCGATAAGGAGAATTCCCTTTATGATTCAGTAGGTATTTCCTGTCTTTCAAAATTTATCCTTCAAATATTTTTGTTTTCAATCTTTTCTTGCAGTACGATAATGGTGATGTACACTTTAAAGGTGTATGGAGTAAATTATACCCTAATATTAATGCTGACGCAATGGACTCAAATGAGAACTCAAATACACCACATCTCAAATCTTTAGGTTATATTTCACCGGGTTCACGTGCTGCTCATGGTGGAGCGATTTTGACAAATAAAATCTATGGGTCAGATACGACTAAAATATTTATATTTGGTGGATTTTCAACAACTGGAGCTTTAAATGACATGTTCTGCTTTGATACAAGTTAGTTAGAAAGAAATATTGTTCATTTTATGCATAATTTTGTCGTTTACAGAATTAATAAACCTCAGGTTATTATTACAGTTTTGATATCACTATACTTAGATACAATATCGATTATGTGCGTTTATTCTGTGTGGTGCAACGGTAGCGTATTTTTTTCCGAACTAAAAAGCTTTGCTCCAATTTCAGTAGACTTAAAGATGAATATACTACTTATTTTATGTATGTAGCTCAAGTGTCTAGATTTCTACTTGATGAGAAGTCTATATCACTGACTAAGTTTCAGCATAGAACTTTGGACTGAATTTTAGCAGTTCAAGTTACTACACTTTGTGTAGCACACACAGGTAGACAAAAGACAAAAAAAAAGGATTCAAAGGAACTATAATAAGCAGAAATGTACGGGGGATGAACAGTAGAATGGAAGGAATGAAGATTTAGTGGATGTCGGAGGTCACAAAGAGTGAATGCATCTGCGCCACTGAAAATGATTTCGAGCCATATCACTAACAGTCTCCAGTCATTGGATCTTAGCACCCCGATGACCCCAAATAGGCACTCTACACCCTATGTGACTGCCTCAAACGAACTGTTAAAGAAATCATGAAGTAATACCATATTTTGGTCTCACCACCCGTAACTCTTTCCCAGTCTAATCGTTTGTTGGCTAACAATGCCCGTCGATGAAGGCATTGTAACAACAGAAGATAAGGGCCAGTCAACAGATCGTTTATTAAGGAAATCAACACATATTTATAGATTTTCATGTACATCATTAAAGATTATTGTTAGTAGGCAAACACAGTCTTCTGACTGGTGGTTTCTCACTGAAAGTTAATCTTTCATCTCTTTTGGTGGCTGTTTCTTGAATGTCAGATCATCTATATGCTAACTGTATCCGCCTACGCAAAGTCTGCTGTGGTTGGTTGTTGAATCAGTTTTTGTTCATATTTTTCTCACGACCAATATTGAGGACGTAAACATTGACGTAAATTACTGTCTACCAATTTGCCTAGCAGACAGCTCTCACCACAGCATGTGTAACACATGTCCTAGTCATCGCAATCGATATAGCTTCACAACCTCGTCGACTGGCTTTCGCTCCTTACCAATCACTCGACACCTACCCTCAATATTACTCAATCTATTATGCAATCTAACATGGGAGATGGAACGCAGACATCGATGATCATATCTTCCACTTTTAATGGTTATATCTTACAGCAATTGAGGAGGATGAAGCGAACTGCTGCTGACCAATATACATATCCTTTGATGGATAACCGGATATCACTTCCACACGTTGTTTGATAAATGCCACAGAAGCCTTTTGTATAATTTTCTTAGATTTCGTTACCTATTAGTCCATTAGGGTTGATGCAACTTCCCAAATAAGTGAAGTGGTCAACACGCTCAACTATTTTACTCCCTATCCATTCCTGCAACATCATCTTACATTTTGACAGAGATGAATTGCACATCAAACATAATAGGATTTTCGTTCAATTTGTTGACATGATTCTGCAGTTTGTCAGTGCTTATATTAGAGGGCAATATTATTTGCATACTCTAGGTCAACGAGACTTTAATTTGGTAACAACTCAACCTCTAAGTGACTGTTAATACATCTGTAATGAAATTAAACAAATAAATGGAGACAGTACGCATAGTCGTTAGTGACCACCACTGGTTGTCGTCATTTCAGAGGAAAACTCTGCATAATCTTTAACACTGCTGTGTGCGGCCCAGAGATTCGGTTCAAGAATAAAAGAAATGCTTCACTTAGGCGTCCTACGAAAAGTGGTGTACAAAAACTGTTTAATCATATAAATGATGGAAATTAATCACAGTTCTTTTTTTTCTTTCTGTCCAATACTATCTGGCAAAGAGGAAATACCACGTATTTAATTGTTAGTTTTACTATTTCAAGGTACAAAAATAAAACAGATTACGACATAATTATGCGGATTTGATTTAAGAAGCCTTGAGAGAAGAAAACTGAATACTACACTGAAACTGAAAATAATACATAGAACTAACAATGTATCCATTACACTTTTACAGGAGATCATTTGTTAGTGTGAATAGCCTAGTAGTAACATTTCTGATTGCAGCACTGGATGACACGGGCTCGAACCTCAGAGTGGATGAGTTTCTTCTAGACTGCAGGTACGCCTTGCTGACGAATATCTCCAACAGGCATGAAATCAAGGTTCAGGGCCTTCTACCGATTACTTTCAAACATGTGATTTCAGAATTAACTAAATTTATTAAAAGTTATATTCAGCAACATTGAGAAATGTTGTGGGCAGTGTTTTACAATACTAAAAGTTAACGATCAAATCATAATTGGCTTTGTTGGCTACATGATAGATAGATATTTTCTCTTGCTTTACGTTTCCAGTGGAACATGGGGCTTCAAGCTTAAGCTATGTTTGCTTTTATAGTCTGGAGTTGTTAGCCTCACGCTCAATCTTCCCCCATTTTCAGGCTTACTATCGATATGTAAGCTAGGCGCGGTTTAGGAGTGCTTGTTCGCGGGGAACCGAACCCAAACAACTAGCATGACTGGGGAGCATTCTACCATCAATTCACCGACGTACAACATATATACAGTTAACAATTTTTTCATCATAGTGCTGATTAGCGGGGATTCAAATGAATAATGCAATAGTCCAGTGTTTAAATCGTCTTGATCTGATTAATATTCACTGTTGTTTAGTGTGCACATTTAGCAACTGCTTATATCACTTAGTGATTCCTTGTATTAGACTACTTTAAACTGTTCATTGTCTCTGTGATACTTTAATTTTATTATATTGTGGAGTATGCTACTGATAAGATTTGTCAGTAGGATATAAACAGACGTTTATCGGCTTAAAAATATCAGATAGCGGAGAGATAGATTTGACGTCGACGAGAGGAGGTGAACCTGCTTTGCAGCAAAACACGGAGACAAAAGAAGAAGGTAACGAAGCACAATACGAAGAGCAGAAGTAGCACAGGATGAAAGATCTGTGTAAATGACGATTTGGAGATAAGGTGTACATAATTTTGCTATATAGAGAGATATGAATTTCCGAATAAACATTCCTTTACCAAGTCTGTTATCTTCAACCGTTAAAATATGTTGTTGTTTTTCATTTTTCTCTCGCTTTACACTTGCTATTAGATCTGAAACAGTGGAGTGAAATCAAGTGTGAGACAGGTATATTGCCTGCTCCGCGTTTAGATTTTGCATATTGTGTAGTCACGTTGACAGTACAGAAGAAAAATGCGAAAATTAAATTGGTGGAATTGACAAGCAATTCATTAAAAGGTATAGCAGTATACGTTTCTTTACGCTTAATTTTTATTCTTTCCTATTTCTTCGAAACTTTGTCTTTCTACATGACGATTGGTCTTATCCCCTAGTCATTAGTTAGTTCCAGTGGTCTTTCCACCGACTGTAGGAAAATACTAATTAGATTTCTCTGTGATTGTGGTATTGAGTAACACCAGATCACTGGTGTTACAAATGGCGCAGTCCAAGGTGAGATTTCTTCATGGGCGCTTAGAAATTATAAAAAATATGTGGTGGTCTGCTTGCTAACGCGAATGATGCTAAATTTCGGAGCAGAAAAGTGACAAATATATGACAATAATCTTTACGCGTAAGCGAAAACTAATAGTGCTCGTCAGCTAGGTCGTTTTGCTGCATTGAGGCCCAGCTTGTCGGAGTACTAATTTGGCTTCGAGGGTTAGAGGAAACAACAGTGAAGCTTCACCTTCGACTGTGCAACTTGCAAACGAGTGATACTAAACTACTATTCCAGTTAAGTTGGTGGCAAGAATTGTACTGCTTTGAAATGATTGGATCCTATGGTTCAGAAATCACTCCGGGCATATATGCTTCACCTTTTATAAAAACAAATGACCGTTTAGTATGCAGGTTACCACAGTTTAGGCAGAATACCTTATTGTTCAATAAATGATTTACTACTACTTGTGTTATATTCAAACATAATAGTAGATTCTAAATGCAATAACAAATTTTCTCAGTATTGCAGTTAATGTCTTATTCATATTCTTTCGAAAATTCAACAAGGCATTTGTTTTTTTTCATATTATTTATTCCCTTGAGTTCCAAGTGGGACATAAAGCTTCAGCAACACATTGCCACTTCACTCTGTTCTCTGCGATCCTCTTTACCTGACTTTAGGACTAACCATAGGCTTTCATTTCCTCCTGACACAATCTACCTCACAACATCCTCGAACACCCCAGCTCGTCGTTTCTCATTCTGGTTCCACTCGAAGGTTTGTCTGGCGCATGATGTGTCACTCAATAATCTCCTTAGAGTGTGTTCAATCCATCTGCATTTCCAACAAAAACAACACAGTCACAATTGATATGATTATGAACAATAAATTTTGTTCGAAACGTCATCCAGTGAATAATATTGTTTCACTGTGTGATACATCTAATAAACAAACTAATATGGAACAAAATCCCATTTTTGGACGTCTTAGTCAAGCGAAACTCAAGTTTATAGAAAATCAACTCACACAGATCAAATACTGAACTACAACGGCAACGATCCAATAACACCCAAAAAGAATTGTATACAAACACTATTCAAGAGGACCAGGACACGTTACAGCACTCCCACCTTAAGGAAAATTGTAAAAAGATATCTCATGGACGTCTTCTAAAAGAATGGATATCCACGGAATTTCATGAAAAGACATATACCCTCAAGCCAACCTATCAAATCGAAGACCCCCGAGGAAAGCACACAGAAAATCGCCCCACCATATAAAAAGGACATCTCAGAAATCACTGCAAGACTCTTCAAACCTTTAAGAATTGATGTCGCACACAAACCAACAAAATCACTCCAACGAAAGAAGATAAAACCAACATCATCTACAAAATAAATTGTAACAACTGCGAAAAACACTACATTGGCCAAAGTGGACGTTCCCTTCATCTTCGTATCCATGATCATAAGCTAGCCGTCAAAAGACATGACATCCACTCCCTTATATCAGTACATACATCAATTCGACTGGGACAACGTTCAAATATTAGACAGAGGAAACAACAAGAATGCTAGAGAATTTTTAGAAGCTTGGCATTCCAGTGAATCATCAATCAATAGACACATCGAGATAGGCAAAATTTATCAACCGATAAGAAAGAAACGTCACACACAAAGGGTCAAAGTTCAAGTCAAAGAAACAATGAGTGACAATACAAGTAACCTAGAAGGTGTGAAAACGCACAAAAAACAACCAATCACGTCCAAGGTCGCCAGGAGAGGTGATTAATAAACTCGTGGAGAAATCTAAAAGCTCACTTCAAATTGAAGTATGCGCTGAAGATGTCACCCAGTAGGGTGATGAAAGCTTCGCAAATTAACTATCCAGCTCAAAGAACACAACCACAACTACAAATCTTCCCTATCATATCTACGTCTGCATTTCCTTTAGCGTATTTGTTGAGCTATAGGGTTTTAGTTGGTTTTTTCCCAGAGTTTCTTGTGGCTGGTCCTTTCCGGCCGGCCATCCCATCTTCAGCAGGCAGCTTAGACAGCTGTCGACAAGTTTTATTTAAAAGTAGTGATCATTACAAAACTTTTCTTCTTTGGCTTTATCCTTAGATGATCAAAGTACAGGTGATACTAACGAAGAAGAGGAAAAAGAAGAAAGCAATGACGAAGAAAAAAGTAGTAATCATCATAACGTTGATGCTTACTGTCAAGATTATTTCTTTATCCATGGTGGAATGGATACAGAAGGCAAAGTGTTCAATGATGCCTATCTTCTTTTACTGTCTGAATATCAAATATCGAATCCAATGAATTTTCAGACAATTTTAAATGAGTGTAATTGTAAAAATGTATAAATAGTATATTACTGAACAGGAAATATTCCTTCTTATCTGTAAATTTACAGTGTATTTGACAGTTACTAAGACTGCTATACACCTCATGGAAGCATAGATTATACATAGACTGCATATTACAAGATATACACTTTAGACAGTCTTTCTTTTCGTGTTCTAAAAATTTTATATACATTTTTTTCTCTTTGAGACTTGTTAGTTGATTTTTTGAGTGTTGTCTGTTTGCTTGTATTACTGAAGTCATACTTCAATGGCATTTAAACACTATAATCAATTAATCAAGTCAACAATATGAGAGAAAATGAGCAGCCCATATTACTCTGTAGTTTACAGTAGTTTTCTTGGTTTATGTTTATTTCTCAAGGTTTTATCTCTTTGAGTAAAGTACCTTTCAGCCTGGTGTGGTGGCAGTTGAAGATTATTTATTTCGATAAAGCAAGGAAGACCAAATTTACAGTACAAAATGTCGTTGCTCTGTTTCACAAGTTCTCATCATCTGCAGACTACCTGCAATTACAGTGGTTATAGAGAATGAAAATAACATGCTCCAATGTTTGAATGGAAGTAGAGAAAATGTTTTAGTTGGAGATAGCTTCCTGACTCTGACGTATAATGTCTTCTCTAATCCAGGCTTATAGGTTAAAGGACAAGAGATATTATAATGAAGATATTCTCTGGTACAAGTTTTGTCACTGTACGGTAGAACCAGGAAGGTATCTTGTTTCTTGCTTTATCTAAATTTATCAATACAACCTTGTGTATTGAGATTATTTAAGTTGTTATGCATATAGTCGTAAAGTAACTGTTTTAGGGACACAGAAACCAGACAGTGACGAAGCTGCTACTATCAGAACTTCTAGATGTTAACATAACGCATTGGTTTAAGGAAATAAATTGAAACGTATTTGAGAATGATAGCAATACCCATCATGGAAAAGCCTGTCTTTTTCAAAACACTGGTTGTCGACAACTTGTTGTGTCGCTCTATTTGACCAAACTGGCGTACAAAAATATCCTAGTACTTCTTCGCGTTTATTATTGTGTCCTAACGTTGTGATTACTCGATATCCACAACGTAAATCAACAGGCACTTGAGAAGGAATACGAACGTGTATTATCGCAGTAATCAAAATTCAAAAGTTGAGCGAGTACAATGAATCAATTGTTAACATGCAATCTTTAGAGTGATAAACAAATCAAAGTCCAATTACATAGTGAAAGTATACTACGATGATGAGTAATAAAACGGGTCACTACAATAGCCCCTCCGTAGAATGCAGGTAAATGAAGTTTACCTGTATTCAGAATGTTACTGTAAATTACAAGGACACAAAAAATATATACGAGTGTCTGGTATGAAAACCTAATTGAGGATTTTAAGTTTTCTGAGGTTTGATAATATAACTGTATATATTCAAAAATGCTAACAGTTTAGAAACGAACCAAAATGTTTAGAAAGTTGTGCAAAATGTAACAATAAAACCAGAAAAATTGTTAGAATAATAATGAGGTTGTTATTGTAAAGAGTTACGGAATAGATTTATATCTTACAGTATATAACAGAAATAAGGAAGTATGGAAATGACTTAGAAATAAATTGTCTGTACAAATTTTTGTGGCCAATGCACTCGCCTGCCTGATCTTGTGATTCTTTATGTTTTGTTAGCCGGAATATCATCAGATTTTGAATCGTGAGAGCAGGAATCATTTTGTTGCGGAACTTTAGATGTTGATGACTTGGGTAAACATTCAGTCATCTCTATTTCCATGAAAGCGGGTGTTACGCGATCGATGCTTACATTCTCGTGGTTTACTGCGCGTTCGACAGTGATGATTTCAATATTGAAAAAACCCATTTAGAAAACAGAAAGATTGAGCGAAGAAATATTTACTTTCCAATTAGATCCTCATCTCTGGCTCTACTCTAGTATACATAGCATTTCTCTTAAAATACACAACACTTTACCAAACAAATGACGATACGTTTGTTAACAATAATTAGTGTCAAAATTCCAATGGGTTGATAATTAACGAAGAAAATCAATACACACTTAGAAGGTAGAAATGGTTAGAATAAATAATTTTACAAGGATAACACGTAATTGAAGATGAAGTGGTCAGAAGAAATAAAATAATTTGAACAATTATAATTTTAAAGGTTTAGGGGGAGGGGGCGAAGTAGTCCGGTTTATACATTCATGTACCGATGGCTAAGGTAAGGAAAGTGGCTGTACAAATTTCTTTGAACACACAAGCTTGGCTTCTTCAGGTGGACTCCTATTGCTTCAGCTGTCTGTAGAAGATGAACTCATAGAGCAAAATTAAGATTAGTAGGAATGCGATAAATAATTTTAAATGCAGTATTCACGTCAACCTTATGCTCACTATCTACAAGGTGTGCTAAAATAGAGCTACGAATACATCTTGTTTGTCCCTTGCTTAACCATGTTGGATCATGTTCGGAAATACGATGATGAACCTGCCTAACTGTATGCTGCTGGCTCCGCAGCTGCAGTCAAACTGGTAGATACGCATAGAAGAGGCGAATTTAGGTAGGTTATCCTTATTTCTCGAACGTAAAATAGTAGTGGTTGTGAAGAGAGAACGTAGCCCTGCTGCATAATAAGATCATTTAATTGGATTCTTCAGGCGCTGTGTTATTTTTTCGCTGATGTTGTCACTGAGGAACTGCAGTTTTATGAACACTGGTTTTTTTGGAATTGTTGCCATACTGATTCTCCTAGGTGCTGAATTCACATTTCTCTCAATCAATATATCTGGATAACCATTGACAATGTATGAACGGATGTCTCCACAAGTAACATCTGTACTCAACAAATCGTCAGACGAACGCATAGAAGCACTAGAACGTAAAATATACGTTCTGACCGGGCAGTTAATGACGATGACGTTTAATAGACAACCTATTACATCATACAGAAGAGAGCGTAGTCGCTCACGCAATGTACGTAAATATAACTTACAACACACTATATTCGAAATTTGGTGGACACGCTAAACGGTGCACGCAACCATGTGCTTTCCAGCAGCCTATGGCGTCGGGAAACGAAAAGACCGGTGGTCGGTGACGACTGCGGTCGCTGGCCAACACCCGTCCCATAGTCGTCTCTTCAGGGTGACGGGAGAACAATTCCTGGTAGTATAGTTCCCCCAACACCCGTCGAACGTTTATGGCCAAATTCCACATTAGTACTTAAGGCTGCGAACAACTCTACTATAAAAACTTTTAGAACTAGAAAACAAAAACTTAATTTTAGTTGCAGCTTTTCCTACATACTGTGCACGTTTGGTTACGCAGGTTGTAGGTGAGAACTGTATCTCCTTGCTTTCTGAGAATTATATTTTATGCAAAACTTAAAAGAAGAATGTTAAATTAATGCTGAGTCGTCTCAACAAGATTGGGTCGATACCTAGAGAGTTATACACATTGACATGTAGTCCTTTTCGAAGTCAAATCCTAGTAGTTTAGACGTGAAGTATCGTTGGACACTTTCTACTTTAAGCCTGTCACATATGCGAGTGCTGCTGAGAACGAATGGACAATATTCTAGTAGTGGTCTCACACATGTTTTGCATAATATAAGTTTCGCTTCGTAGTTGTGGAGATTCCTGAGTATGCATCCTAAGAGCATCCTCGATTTACGCGTCTGCGTTGCCACTTGCTCAGAAAATGTCAGGTCACTAGAGTACCTGAGTCCTAGGTCAACAACACTTTGGAGTTTAGGCAAGTCAATAGATTCAAGTACCAGTTTGATATTTATTGAGGGTGCACCGAAACAGATCCAACCACATTTGTTAAGGTTGAATTTTAGGTTCCATGTGGAGGACCATGCAGTTACTCTATCTAGTTCTTTCTGAACAGCATTCTGAAAGTGTCATAAGTCATCACAGTGGAACGTGTAAGCTACTTTAAGATCATCTACAAAGATGAACGGTTTGTCAAGCGAGAAACAACTGCATATCTCGTTGACATATAGAGTGAACAGGAGGGGGCTTAAGACGCTACCCTGAACTATACCAGAAGTGACTGGACTAGGTTTAGAGTTTACAGACCCCAGTCTAACTACTTGGGACCTATTGTTAAGGAATGATTCAAGCCATTCTAATAATGGGTTACGTATTTCTAAGGAGTTCAGCTTATATATTAGCAGCAAATGGTCAACGCGGTCGAAGGCTTTGGAGATGTCGAAGTAGATGACTAGTACTAGCTGTTGTCTGTCTCGGCTACTGGTTATATAGTTAAAGAAGTCAAGGTGACAGGTCATGCATGATCTGGATTTTAGGAATCCGTGTTCGTTGGGACTTACAATATTGCAGCTGAGCATACATTTGAGAATATCACCTTTAACTATTCTTTCCATAATTCTAGATGCTATGGGTGTAATATTGATTGGCCTATAGTTGTTGACTTCAGTTTTCGATCCGCACTTGTGTTTGGGTATTATAAATGTGGTTTTCCATTTGTCTGGATAGATTTGGCTTTCTAGAGACATTGTAAAGATCTTAAGTAATAATAAGGAAATGTCAGAACCACCGTGTTTATGAAAATACGATGGTATGCCGTCAATACCAGCACTACTAGAGCTTTTAAGAGTTTTAATGGCTTGGTTAATATTAGAATAAGTGAAATGAACTGTACTGATTTGTTTCAGCGCTAATGAAGAAGGGAGTTCCATTGTGGGTTATAATTCGAGAAGTGGGCTTATGGGCTTAAGGTAGTTAGCTGCAAACGTCTCGTTAAACAGTTCACACATGTCTGCATGGTTGCTGTATAGTTTACCCTTGTTTATAAGGAGAGAAATTTTATGGCTTTGGCGATTCATTCGTTTCTTTAGGATTTCTGTGAGCGCACCTACTCTGATGGTGCTGGCTAGTGCGGGGCATTCTTCATTTCTCATACGCAACTTATGAGCTTACGAGATGGAGCTAAGAGTACTAAGTATTGACCCTAGTATACTAAATTCGTATCGTGTGAAGTA